TAGTTTATTTGTATTGTATTGTTTTGTATTGTTTTTTGTTCAACACAACACCAACAGCAGCAATCAAACACAACATTCAACACAATATTATTTTCGTTATATTTTAGTTAAGTTTAGTTAAGTTGTTTATTATTTCTAGACCATTCGTTACTTATTATTACTAGATTTGTTCGTTTATTTTATTCGTTACTTATTATTTCTAGATTTATTCGTTTATTTTATTCGTTACTTATTATTTCTAGATTTGTTCGTTTATTTTATTATTATTATTGCGCGGTCATACACACACACACACAAACACACACTCACACACACACACACACACACGTACATACATATATTTGTTGTTTGTTTGCTTGATTTTTTATTCTCTTTTCCTTACTTTTTTCTTCGTAATTGTACAAATAGGTAGGATTAATAGGATTAATTCGTTAGTTGAGCTAATTGAACATAGGTAGGTGAGTTAATTTAGTAAACATAGGTAGGTTGGGGACTCTATTCTTTCTTCCTTACGTTCTAGTTTATTTGTATTTTATTGTTTTGTATTGTTTTTTGTTCAACACAACACCAACAACAATCAAACACAACAATCAACAATATTATTTTCGTTATATTTTAGTTAAATATAGTTAAGTTTTTTATTATTTCTAGAACATTCGTTACTTATTATTACTAGATTTGTTCGTTTATTTTATTATTATTATTGCGCGGTCATACATACACATACCCAAACACAAACACATACATACATACATACATACATACATACATACATACATACATACATACATACATACATACATACATACATACATACATACATAGATACATACATACATACATACATACATAGATACATACATACATACATACATACATAGATACATACATACATACATACATACATACATACATACATACATACATACATATTTTTTGCTTTATACGTGCTGGTTGTATTTTTGATTTGCTCTGTGGTTTCTTAAGTTTTGTTGTTTGTAGTTAATAGTTTTGATTCAATTTAGTTTTATTTGATAGGGATAATTTACATTTGTAGGGTGATATAATTTTTTTGTCGAAAATTTAATTGTAGCAATTTTTGATTTATTTAACTCTATTTTCGTTAAATTTAAAATTAATTTGTGTTTAAATTGGCGAAGTGGAAAGTTCTAAGCTTGTAATTGTTGTAGGATTGTTTGTACTGTACACGCGTTATAGCTTGGCAAACTTGTGTTGTTGTGTTGTGTCTTTTTTTTTTTCGTGTCGATTTTATAGACTATATGGACTCAAGAATTGTTTGAGTAGATACTGTTTACTGATCTAAAATTTTGTCAATTTATATCACACGTTTACACAACTTGTCGGCTTGGATAACGCGTTTACAAAAACTTCAATTAAACTTTCGATCTGGTGATGATGGCTGGTAAAGGAAGATCTACGAAAAATTCTAATAGCGATGCTCTACGATGTGAAAAAGAATCAACAGATGTTCAGTGTGTTTGTTGTGGGATTTCGTTTGCTGTCGGCATGACTGAGGAATCGTTAGAACTATTGAAGGCATGTGATAATGTCAAATTTGTGTGTGATGAGTGCTTGAAGTCACCATCAATAAAGGATCAGGTCATCAAAACAGTTGAGAGTGGAAAAGCTGAGATATGTGACAAGATAAACAGCTTAAGTAAAGAGATTAGATCGGAAATCGATGCAATCAAGGTAAAATTGGAAGCAAATGAAGGCAAAATGTCTGGATTGGATGTCCCTGGATCAAAGCTCTGTGATGAGATTTCGAACTTTAGAAATGAAATGACCAGATCATTTGCTAGCGTGGTCAGTTCTGAGGTTGTGAAAAGTGTCTAAATCATAAACGATGATGTAAAAAAAGTGCAAAAAACGTTAACCAATGTAATGGAATCGAAGGAACGAGAGGCAAATATAGTGGTTTTTCGACTGAGTGAAGGAACGGACGACAGAAACAGGGTTTGCAAGATAATCAGTCATCTGACCGGTGGTGTCTGCGGTGAAACAAACATAATAAAGTTGGTACGACTTGGTAAGAAAAATGATACGGTGGTAAGACCAATTTTGGTAAAGTTTGATGATGTCAAGGTGAAGGAACTCGTTTTCAAAAATGTTTTTAAAATGAAGTCAGTAGGCGATAATCTGTCTCATGTTGGTCTGAGTCATGATCTTACTGTTGAGCAAAGAGATGAACTTAAAAAATTGATGGACGACGCCAGACAGATGGAGAAAAACTCAACGGAGGGTATTTTATACAGAGTGCGAGGAGACGTAGGAAAATGGAAAATAGTACATTTTCCTGCAAGGAAAGAGTCAAACTGATGAATGGACGACAAGGCCCTGGATATGAGTTATGCAGTTTGATCAAATGTGGTAGTCACGGTTTTCACAGTGGTGATGATGATAACAGCAATTCTAATGAAAATTTCAATCTGGGTTTGTTAAATGTTAGATCAATTGCACGTAATGTTGATGGGATTTATGGACTAATTTGTGATGGATTGGATGTGTTAG